GTCGGCCTATTCTAACCTCATCCGCATATGCGAACACGCTAGCGTGTCTAGCAACGGGAGGTTCTATAATCTGTATGCCAACTACCCGCTGCCCGTGCAGGGTGAACCGGACGAACTCGCTGGCTGCGAGCTACACGCGTGTGAGGAAAGGGACGTGTGCGGCATTGAGGTTCGCGACGGGGATCAGCTGTTGGCGTACCTCAGTCCGATGTACGAGAAATACTTTGACTTTATAACGGACCAGAACAACGCCGTTGACCTACGGGATCGAGTCGAGTCGCTCGGGGCTCGATGGTTGGTGGAACACGATCGCAACGAAACGTCGTTCACCTTGCGTGTAAAACACAACTGGTTCACAAGAATGTGCATCAGAGTCACAATGTTAATGGCCGCCTTGTAGGCGAAACCGCGCGTACCGATGAAACAGTACTAACACTCATCGGACAACCAGTCGTGCACATCCTACGACTCAGCGTATCCACGGTACATACATATATATCTAGCTTCACACCATGGCAGAGCAGCTTAACCGAAAAGGAGCCTTGAGGATTAAGATGCGAGAACGTGACAGGTGCGTCTTTGCCACTTGGCGAAGTGCCGTCGTTGCCAGTGTGACTCCCTACTTCCTAAGCAGAACCCAATGCTTTTCTGCAATGGCTAAGCGGGAACCGGGGTACGTTGCCCTGACGCATGGCCCCGACGGCGACCTAGCCACGTTCGAGTTGTTCACTAAAGGCAAGGGGTGTATCTGGAAATACACGGTCGGCCCAGACGAGACATGCACAGAGTACGTCTTGTCTTCTGGCAGCGGGTCCGCCGATCGGATTGTGTTTCGAGATCCGGACGGGAAATGTGTGGAGTATGTTTTGTCTTCTGGCATCGAACCCCACGATCGCTTTGTGTTTTCGAACATGGAGTCGCTCGTGCTGTATTGCAGAAAGCAGGCGATCGAGCGCTCGGTAGATAAAGATCACTACGACATGATCAGAGGCTTGGAAACGGCCGACCGAGAGGCCTCGTCTCCTCGAGGGATCTGCGATATGATGGGAGACTTACAAGTAACGTCAGAGGCTGCTTGCTACGACGGCGGACGACGTTTGGTGTTGCCGCCACCGCCTCCTGTCAACAGAAACACTAAACCCGCCGTGAACCGGGTTGCGCGCGAGACACACGGGGATCGTCCTGTTGTTCGCAGAGAGTTAAAGCCCCCGACAGGTACTCGTGAACTAGAGGAAGGCTATCCTCATCCGCCACCGAGACGGTCTCCCGGAGAACGTGGGGTATCGAGGGTCGAGTGGACTGGCAGCGACGAGTACGAGTGGTTGGCGGCGTATCGCGACTGAGAAAAGTGCCGCGGTGAGATCACACCGCAGGGCTTCCCAACTTGGGGAGACACGAAAAGCCACTCCGAAGAAGACTGCAACTGTCCTCCAAATAAATGCCAAACGGAACCCGTCTAGTGTCTCGCAAGTGATTATGTGTCGATGTTTCTGTGC